TACTCATGCGCCTACAGCAAGACTATCAGCTGTTTGCGGACAACTCTTAGCTTACACACACAGCCAGAGTATTGATACGCTTCCAGCTAAAAGAATCACTGCTTGCCAAAGGCATGGACTCCCCTCACACTGACTACAGAGAACCCCCGCCGTGGGCAAACGAAATGATCGAATTCTCAGTACTAAACCTTACAATGAGAAACTATCAATATTCCATGCCAGGCCTAAAGCACAAGCACAAAGGGTCTTGCACAAATAACTCCTCTGGGTAGCATAACCTACTACACGGAAGGATCCGTGGATCCCATAAAATACACTACACGGTTGCGATCATGGAAGCCCTGACACACGCGTCCCTAAGGGTTGGACACGTGGTTATTCATACAGACTCTAGAGCAGCCATTGACAGTCTACAGCATAGCATGCCCTAAGATATCTTCTGATACCTGTACTGACCATAGCCCAAAGAATACTCGGTCAGGGTAGAAGAATTATCATTAACTGGGTCTCAAGCCACATTGGTATTCAAGGGAGTGAGCTTGCTGACAGACTAGCCGAAAAGGGCAGGGGTATGCCCCCCATCCTCCATGATCGTTAAACCAAGCCGAAGGAGACTAAGCCAAAGTTCCAAATCTACAGCATGCCGTAAATGCGCTCGCTGCCAAGTGGTACTCAGATACTACAGATTATGATCCACTGGCTCTTCCTCCAAATACAAAAAGAGGTACCGGTCATACTACACAGACTAAGACTAGGTTACCCATGCGCTTGGCAAATTATTGATGACGAGACTGCCAGGTTATGCAAACACTGCGGCGAGACTAACGCCACCCTGTTACTTGCAGAATTGTGAACACACAATTTCTAAGACAGGAACCACCCATCACAGCCGCCGGGCTGGTAAAAAGGGTTTGCCACATGCTTACTCTGTGGCAGTTGGAGCGTTCGCTTGCAATTCAGCCACCACGAAGAGTATACAGTTCAAAGAAAACTTATGAGTTAACGTAATAGTTAACACAGGCCGGGCCACTCCAGAGAAAGGCCCGGGCGAAGCATGACTTCGCAAATTTAATTGAACTGAACTAAATTTCCTCCTCAGACCCGAAGATGGGTCCGAAACTGCTGTCTCACTTTCTTCAATATATCTAGTTTTTGCATTGTGGATTTTTCTACCATAGTAGAAACACGGTAGAGTATTTTTTTCCATTCATATATATATATATATATATATATATATATATATATATATATATATATATATATATATATAATATATAATATATATACATATATATATATATATCCACATACACACACACACACACACACACACACACACACACACACACACACACACACACACATATATATATATATATATATATATATATATATATATATATATATATATGAATAGAAAAAACTCTACGTGTTCTTCAGAAAGTCGTACCGGGTAATATAAAATAAATAAAACAGGTCGTCAGCTGAGGCCTTCATTTGGCGTACACAAAATAAAAAGAGTATCAAAAATATTTCCATGTCCTTTTTTATTTCAGTCTCACATCTAAAATAGAATGTACAGGTGAGACAAATAATTCAGCGCAGTCTGTGGCTCTTCTGGTGTTTTTTCAGATTACTACTTACACTAAACCTTTTTCCACACTCGGAACACTCGAACGGCTTTTCTCCCGAGTGAATCCTCTGGTGTCTCTTCAGATGACCACTTACACTAAACCTTTTTCCACACTCGGAACACTCGAACGGCTTTTCTCCTGAGTGAATCCTCTGGTGTGTCTTCAGAGAACCTCTTTCACTAAACCTTTTTCCACACCCGGAACACTCGAACGGCTTTTCTCCTGAGTGAATCCTCTGGTGTCTCTTCAGATGACCACTTTCACTAAATCTTTTTCCACACTCGGAACACTCGAACGGCTTTTCTCCTGAGTGAACCCTCTGGTGTGTCTTCAGAGAACCACTTACACTAAACCTTTTTCCACACTCGGAACACTCGAACGGCTTTTCTCCTGAGTGAACCCTCTGGTGTGTCTTCAGATTATCACTTTGATTAAACCTTTTTCCACACTCGGAACACTCGAACGGCTTTTCTCCTGAGTGAATCATCTGGTGTCTCTTCAGATGATCACTTTTACCAAACCTTTTTCCACACTCGGAACACTCGAACGGCTTTTTTTCTGGTAGAATTCTTTGGGTTCCCTTCAGCTTATCACTGTCAGCAAATCTGTTCCTACTCTCAGAACACTCCAACAGTTTTTTTCCACTGTGTATTAACACATGTTGATTTGGGATATCAGAACATTCACACTTGTAATCACAAACTGAACACTCAGTATTATATTCATCGGATGCTGGCGAACGCAGTGTCTCATGAAACGCCTTTTCCGGAATTGCGGCGCCTCTTCTCGCAAACACTGCTTGGTTGAGCCACTACTGCTGCTGCTTCCTCGCGTGGAGAAAATTGGCGGCGTGTAAGTGTGAACACGCTTTCTGCACACTTTTAGATGACCCGTTAGATAATCTTTCGAGCTGTAGACTAAGCCACACCATTCGCACTGCCGATCTGAAAACGTAAAACCTTCATTATATGTGTAAGTATTTATTTACATATATATCATTTTCACCATATATATACATGTGTATATATACATACACACCACACGAGTGTATGCAAATGTGTATGTATGTATATATATACATATATCTATCTATATATATAAACATATATATATTCATGTATATGTATATATATATACATACATGTGTGTGTGCGTGCGTGTGCGTGTGTGTGTGTGTGTGTTTAAATACATTGATGTTATGGATGTGCAGACACATATGTACACACATCTAATACACTATTTTATACTTACAATATCAATTTATATAATCTCAATTGTATTCCAACAATTTCTGAATACATTTTTCCTTCACAATGGGAAATTAGGTTATGAAAATTGTATTTGCGTACCTTTTACATCTTCCGCTGGTTTCCACTTGGACGGCTCTCTTGACAGACCCAGATCCTTCCCGTAATCGTCTCCGTACCAGCACATCAACTCGCTCCCCCTGTTCACAATTATTTTGGCATTGTTTGTCTGTATCTTTAAATATTAATGTGCACGTTATCACAGGCGTATGATCAGGAAAAGTTAACTTCACTACAATTTTACTGACCTGCTAATTGCAGAGTCCGTCTTGTAGTAGATCTGCCCCTTGTACTGAAATGTAGATAGGTTGGTCTCAGCTTCAGTTCTTGAACAATTAACGTAACGCATCCAGTTACTAACTGCACTATCTACAGCATCAATGCATGTATTCCTTGTTCCAGTACCTCGAATCTGGAAGTACACGAAGGTGAAGAAATTTTCAACTTTTTGCGTAAGTAGATTTTCTCTTAAAATACTTGGTGGTTTACAGAAAACCGCAAAAAATCATTCAGTGTTACATTCATCTAATATCATATGTTTTACGCCACAGAATACACTAACCTTCCAGCCATAGCCAGATTCTTTACCGGCTTCCGGATGGCCAGATAGGACACGGCCCTCATACGGACCAAACACTAGATGGGCTGGGAGATGAGCATTGGTCCACACGCCTTTTCCTGCCCCCTTCACTTTCGAGTCGCAGACAGTGAGGGGCCAAGGGGTTGTGAGGCGAGCACGATCTTTCTCGCTGCCGTCTCGAACAACCTGTCCAAACATACCATTGGGACGATAACGCTATTTAAAACTGTGCGTGTGCATTTGTGTCTAAGATTATTATGTCTGTGACCAGTTCAGTTTTCAATCTAACCAAAGTTATGAGAGTATGACATTTTATGTTCGACATGAATGGCATACGTACGGGGTTATCTAGAATAAGGAACAATGGATGGTACGGACACTCTCCCTCTTTCTCTTCTTCACAGTCTGCGCAATCTACAGACAAAAGAATTCATGGTATCTGAATCTATCTACCTCATGTACAATCGTAAGTGCACAACTATTGTATATGATTTAATTAAGTGAAGTGAAATTAATCCAAGATTATAAAATCCACGCAACGACAACTAGGAAGATGACTCAACGCTTTTCCTTACAAATAAAATCGTCATCTTTAGTAATGCTTTCTTCATAAAACAGCTTCCTTCTGCTACGACGTCGTGGGTACCGCGTCTTGGACTTCTCTCCCGAAAAACAGCTGTTTCCCCGACCTCTTCATCTGATCCTACACCAAGTGTTTCACTCTCAGCTGGAAGCTCTTTCTGTTGCCAACTGTGACATGGGAACTGAAAAGACCCCTTGTCCTCTGGCTTAACATTTTCCGCAGCGGAATCTCCACTTGACCTGTCGGCTGTTGTTGGCATTATCTGGAAAATTCAAGAATATTTAAAGATCATTTCTTCATTTGTAATAAAGAATAATATTTTAGAATGATGAGCTTGGCGACGCTGCAAATAGTCAATAATTTTATATCATTTCTAAATAAACTGTTTTGACAATCCTGATATAATTGTTTAATTCTTATACACGAGAAGATATTGGTTATAGTCTGCACAACTACCCAGCGACAAAGTCGCACAAATAGTTAAAACTGTTTGCAACATTTATGTTCCAGGACTCATGCATTTCTATGTCCAGACAGAAATAGAAGCGGACACGGAATCTGGATAAAAAAGGGAGAAGTGCATCACGCAAAAACAGACAAAGGCACGAAGACAAACCTTGACAGTGCCCTTTGCACCTGCCACCAACTTGGCTGGAGTCCATAACGGTATAACATCTACTTGGTCTACACTGAGCGGCGCATCATCGTAGTTCTCACTCCTTCCGGTCCAAGCTGGAGCACTCCACTCTGCCTTCCTCTTAAGACCGCCTCTTCTTCCACCGCCCACGTGTCCACTTTTGTCGCATACCTGTAACAACAATTAATCTCCATTATATAAGCTTCCTAAAATGAGTGTGCACGCGTCCTCATTCCCTATGCCCAGTGGAATCCTCGCC